CGCTGCCGCTGCCCGAGGCCCCAGCCCAGCACCGGGGCCCTGGTGAGGAAACCAGCAGCAGGGCCTGCAGGTGTGAGCCCAGCCCTAGGAGGGAGGCCTAGCACCTCATCCGAGCTGCGGGAGATGTGCGTTCCTCACAGCAGCGTTGCTTCCTCTGGGATTCGTGTTTTCAGTGAGATGCTCCAGCAAACCACAGTCAGATCGAACTATTTACAGAGTGGGCTAATTACAAACTGTACCAATCAGGCCTAGGTTTTAATTGCCCTGCTCTCCTAACTCTGCTCCCTAGAACAATGCCATTCAGGAAAGTCAGTTTTCCTCTCAAGAAGCCATTATTGCCAGTTTCAGTAACCACAAAGCCCTGCATTTCTTCAGTTAGTTAGAGGGCTGAGTTGGCAGAGCTGTTGCCCACTGACGTTCCTTCTGCCTCGTGTCTGCCTGCAGCACTGGAACCAGTCCCTTCAGCACTGCTAGTTGAGGGTGTTGTGTTTCCTGTGAGACAGACCCACCCCAACTGGGGAAATCCCCACACTGAGACAGGATAGTGATCAAAAGTGTTGTTTTAAAAAGCATGCTGAACGTATGCAATATATCCAGAAGACTGTAGGGTTTGGGCTAGGAAGGCTTCATCAACACCAGTAAATTCAATGCTTTGCCAAGGGCAGCAGTCAGGGAGCTGCCTGTGCCAGGGCTGGTGAACTCCCTCAGCTCCCAGCACAGGACGGCCCTGGGCAAACTATCTGCTGGGTAAAGTCTCTCCCAGCTGCCAGGGACTGGGAAAGGCTTGTGGGAATGGTACTTGCCAAGAGCCAAATTTGGGAAGGGAAGAATTCTGGCAATTTACCAGTAGGAGCAACTTCATTTCAGTGCCAAAGATTGTTTCAAAGCGAGCTTGGAGTATGTGACCATACATAACTAGGTATAGACATGCAGAAACTAGTGCTGTCAGTTTATACTTCCTGGTTAAAAATGTTTCCTTTTTTTTTTTTTTCCTGGAGTAGGAGCCTTTCACTGGGATAATCAAATATTATATGAAAAATGAGGGGAACTCAGAGGTGAAATCCTGTTATCTGCCCGAGTCCCACAGTGTGTTAAGTGTGACACAATGCAAAGAAACAAAACCACCATTTAAAAAGATCTGTACTACCTATACTGGGGGAGGGCACTGGTTTGGGTGCTATTTTCCTAACCCAGGAACTCCCCTCTGCACAATACTTCTGACACCCTCTGCCTCAGTACAGATACTGCGAACTTTTCCTGCTGCTATCTTGCATTGCTCCAAGAAGAGACAAAAATTGGCCTCTCAGCATATGATCAAAGGGAGGGAAATGCTCCTGGATCTCAGACTCCAGCTGTAGAATTGGCTTTACTCAGGTCCTTCAGCACCTGCCTTTTATTTTCTCCTTTTTAATAGGTACAGCCAGTTTCTGAAGGAAATCAGTGGCCTCCATTGCTCTGTCTCTTGCCCAGGGCTCAACTTCCATGCCTGCTCTCGAAAATGGTGGGAAGTGAGGATGCTTCTGCTCAGTGTCAGCTGTCTCCTACAATGTCCTGTTACCCAGAGCTGATTCACAAGAGCTGTCAGAAGTGGTGCTCCCTTCCCCCTGAAATGTTATCAGTCACATGAAGCTTTTAGGTGAGAAAATTACCATAACTCACAAATGACAGTGATGGTTGCTAGAAGCTCCTGAGCTGTCTCAGTTGCTAAAGCTTGAGAAGGCTATTCACCTTGATTTACCTTCTCAGACCCCAAAATGTAGAGCAATTTCAGGAAAAAAGCCATTGTATTTTAAATATATAGCTTTTCTGGAATATTTTGTGTGTATTTAGGGAAGTTGTTACTCCCTTTGAAGTTCAGAATGAAAATGTACTGACTGCCCAAAATAGTTTGCACTGCTACTTCATATGCTGTGTGCTTAAACAGCAGCTTTAATCTTGCAGCAGGGCCTGGCACAGGGACTGTAATTGCATGAAAACAGTAAAACACAAATGCATGATACACTGCATACATAAAGTGGAAACTGTTGTTAACTCATTAGTTAAAATACAAACCTAAATGCCAAGAAAACAGATGCTACCTAATTTGATAAGGACTGCTTGATCATGTATGTAACTGTAGATCTTTGTGAGTGAAATGGTTGTTACTGTTACTTTGCTCCCTGTACTGTTTTAGTACCCACATAGCCTATGTGAGAAGGATCTTGTGGCTGCAAAGTAGGCACATCCTTTCCTCAGAGAATTTGCATTGCAGGCAAATTAGTTTCTGTGGAACAGAAAATCTGACCTTAAAGGAAGCCAGCTACTTCTCCTTTCTTTTTTATAGTTTCTCCCTTCTAGTTTATGCATATTCTAAAGATACACCCAGTTACAGCGTTTATTTATTTTTTTATTTCAGATGTGTATCTGTCAAGCACCAAACAGTGCATTTGAAAATTAAACTTCTCTTCCATTTTACAGTTAGATCTAACTGATCTCATTATGCTGGGATTTACCTCAAAGATGTTTTACCAGACTTTGCTAAGCCATTAGCCATCCTCCATCCTAGAAATTTGAATCCTCGCTAGACATAGAATTACAGCTTAAGATAAACTGATTATCCTCATAATATGTCTCCTACTTAACAAAATAGCAGTGTCTCATATGTAAATGCAATCTAAAATTTCACATCCAGCAAAGGTCATTAGAGATTTGCAACCTTAAATCAAGAAATATTATTCAGCAAAAAAAAAAATCACCAAGAAAATAAAACAAATACTGGTGCTCTAAGAGTACGAGCTGAATATATAAACATTCACTATTAAACTCGTACAAAAAACCACTTTTGAAATGGTTTTAACAA